TGCAAAAAAATAAGAAATCAGGAAGGGGGCAAACACTTTTTCACACAACTGTATGTATAAATAATAGGCCAACACACATTCCATCTTTAGCTCAAAAGAAAAGCAAAGGCCTCTTGATCTCCCTCCTCACTTTGACTGGACCCCCAGCCTGATCTTGAGGTACTCGTACACCACATAGCTGATGCTGACAGATGGAATGACCTTCATGAAGTTGGGAGCCAGGCCTCGGTAGAGTCCCATGGGTCCCTCGGTCCTAATGATGTGTCTGAACAGGGCGGTCATGGTCATTTGCGGGCCCCCCAGGGTAGCTGAGGAAAACAGAGGAAGACAGGCTGATCCAACACTACAGCAGACAGAGCTGGTAGAGGCAGACACACACACATATGAACCCTGCACATCACACACCATGCCCCTTAAAGATGCTCCAATCACCATCTTTAAGTCACAATAAAACTCTAGAAACAGGAAGCATGCGTTGTTTCCAGAGGACAGCTGCTGCTCTTGCATGATGACCATGTGACCATGGCAACCAGAGAAACACACAGGTATTCCTTTTACTGTCCAAGTTCCCACGCGCACACGCAAACGCAAACGCACACTTTCTGAGAAGCTCTTTTGCAGCAATATTAGCTTCAAGTTTTGATCAAACAGCAATGTTTATGATATTAGTTCAAGTGACAGTGGTACGGGGCCTGCTGCACTAACAGGACCTGGTGTTAAGCTAAGTCAGAACGTGGCGATCTAAGCCCGACCTAACAGTTACGCCGGTTGCATCATCTAGGCCTGTTCTCACTAAGACCCGGTGTAAATGTTATGCCTAGTCGGAAGCGGGCGTCAAGTCAGAATGGGAGTTTGAACGATGACTCATGTCCTCGTGGTCGTAGCCAGCTGTGAGGTCACCCGGGTCCAGACCCAGCGTCTCTGCATCGGAATGACACGGGCCGCCATCAATGAGACAGCTGTGTGTGTGGTGAAGACGTGCTGGGTGATTGGCTGGTTTTACAAACAGCAAGTAAAGGCTATGTAAACTACACACCATCTAGGTACGATTGGTAACAATGTATCCTAGCAACGCATGCTGCTGGGATACAGCCATAGTTGTGTGGTTGTTCACATGAGCACCCATAACTAAGTAGTTAGGACTAGGCTTCAGCCTGGTTGGTCCACTCCTAAGCCTGGTCTCAAAGACCAGTGGGTGCAGCCCGCTCCTGCACTGTAGGTGGCAGCATCCTCCCACTGCAGTGCAGTGTTAAAGAGGTTATCGCACACATTCAGAAAGTATCTACCGATGTATCGGCTCAAACACACTGAGCAGCCTCACCTTCAGCTTGAATGATGAACTTACAGGTACAATGCACATCAAGATTGCTGTAAATGCGACAGAATGAGTCAAACAGCTACTTTCTGTCTATACTGCAGATTAAATGTAGAAGTTCTTCCACATTATTCAAATGTGATTGAAACTGTCTATCTCATGTATTCTGTCTCTTGTCATCTACTCTAAGAATCCTCCTTTGGACAGAATCTGTGCAGAGAATAACATGACCTTATTCTCAGCAGACATCCGACTTAGTAAGCACATTAACGATGGCTCAGTTCCATTAAGTGTCCCAAGAAGCTCCTCCAGTGAGTCAGCCTGCACCGACCAGGACCTGCTCTAAGTGGAATGCAGCCATCTTTAACATCGGGCCACACTGCCTGCGTGAGCAGCGTGTGTGTGCTGTATTTCAGCGTCCATGTTAACAGGTGAGGGCAGCCAGCTCAGGGGTCTCTTCTAGAGGTTCCAGGTCCTGTTTTAAAAACCTAGCATCTTTCTGTGGCCAGTACCATTGTTCATTTATACATTCAATTCCAAAATGTCTGAAATAGTTGAAAGGTCATTGAACTGGCAAATGGTTAAACTGTGTTTGATATCTAATGTGGAAATAAAATAATGTAGCTCTAATGTTGAATCCCTCCCTTTAGTGTAATGCTCATCGTTGTGTCCTGTTGAGAACCAGTAGAGCGTTAAAGCAGTAGAACAGTGCAGAGCTGTAAAGAGACACTGTAGTAGCATGGCCTCAGTATGAGCACATCATTCACAATAAAGCTTTAGCTTGGACAGCTGAGCAACTACATGAAATATAGAAAAGGACCTCATGTGACAGCCACTGAACATTTCAGTCTTCATGAAGGATTTAAGAAGCATTATTATGACCAAAAGCCGACCAACATGTCCTCTGCAGAGGAGGCAGCGCCTGAGGACCTAGGGGGAGGCTCACCCATATCCCTGGCAGAGGTCGCTGAGGTAGTTAAAAAGCTCCTTGGTGGCAAGGCGCCTGGGGTGGATGAGATCCGCCCTGAGATGCTGAAGGCACTGGACATAGTTGGGCTGTCCTGGCTGACACGCCTCTTCAATGTCGCATGGGGGTCGGGATCAGTGCCCATGGAATGGCAGACCGGGGTGGTGGTTCCCATCTTCAAAAAGGGGGACCGGAGAGTGTGCTCGAATTACCGGGGTATCACACTACTCAGCCTCCTGGGGAAGGCTTATGCCAGGGTGCTGGAAAGGAGGCTCCGACCGTTTGTCGAACCTCGGATTCAAGAGGAGCAGTGCGGATTCCGTCCCGGCCGTGGAACAGTGGACCAGCTCTTTACCCTCGCAAGACTACTGGAGGGGTTCTGGGAGTTTGCCCAACCAGTCTACATGTGCTTTGTGGACTTGGAGAAGGCTTTTGACCGGGTCCCTCGGGGGTTCTTGTGGGGGGTGCTGCGGGAGTATGGGGTGCCGGACCCGTTACAACGGGCGATCCGGTCTCTGTACGACTGCAGTAGGAGCTGTGTCCGCATTCTCGGTAATAAGTCAGACACGTTCCCGGTGGATGTTGGCCTCCGCCAGGGCTGCCCTTTGTCACCGGTCCTGTTCGTGACTTTCACGGACAGGATATCTAGGCGCAGCACGTCAGATTCGTGGGTCTCGGGATCGCCTCTCTGCTGTTTGCAGATGATGTGGTCCTGTTAGCCTCCTCGGATCATGACCTCCAGCATTCACTGGGGCGGTTTGCAGCTGAGTGTGAAGCGGCGGGGATGAGAGTTAGCACCTCCAAATCTGAGGCCATGGTTCTCTGCCGGAAACCGGTGGATTGCTCCCTCCAGGTGGGGACGGAGTGCCTACCTCAAGCGAAGGAGTTCAAGTATCTCGGGGTCTTGTTCACGAGTGAGGGTAAGATGGAGCGGGAGATCGACAGGCGGATCGGTGCGGCTGCAGCAGTAAAGCAGGCGCTGCACCGGACCGTCTTGGTGAAGAGGGAGCTGAGCCGAAAGGCAAAGCTCTCAATTTACCACTCGGTCTACGTTCCTACCCTCACCTATGGTCATGAACTCTGGGTCGTGACCGAAAGGACAAGGTCGCGGCTACAAGCGGCCGAAATGAGCTTCCTCCGTAGGGTGGCCGGGCTCAGCCTTAGAGATAGGGTAAGGAGCTCGGTCATCAGGAGGGAGCTTGGAGTCGAGCCGCTACTCCTTTGCGTCGAAAGGAGTCAGCTGAGGTGGTTCGGGCATCTAATTAGGATGCCTCCTGGACGCCTCCCACTGGAGGTTTTCCAGGCACGTCCAACTGGGAAGAGACCCCGGGGAAGACCCAGAACACGCTGGAGAGATTACATCTCCCAGCTGGCCTGGGAACGCCTCGGGATCCCCCAGAATGAGCTGGAACATGTTGCCGGTGAGAGGGAAGTCTGGGTCAGCCTGCTTGGCCTGTTGCCACCGCGACCCGACCCCGGATAAGCGGAGGAAAATGGATGGATGGATGAAGGATTTAAGAAGCATTATTATGAAACAAGTAGAGTTACATGGCAGCTTGTTTGTGGTATTCTGTATTATGTTCAAATCAGATGAACAGAATGGAAACCTTCTCATGAACAAGTTGCACTGATCAAGATGAAAGAAATGATTTTAGAGAGTTTGCAGAATCTGACATGGAGCTCACGTAGGAACAAACCTCAAGGTCAAAAGTAAGAGAGATTTAGAGTAAAACTCCTAAAATCATTGTGATGGGTAATCAATTCATAACTCATGATCACATCTTTATATGATTGTAATAGACAGTAGATGTACAGAGCAGTAGAGTTCTGCAGTGACTGACCTTGTGCCTGCATCCGAGTCCTGACCAGGGCCAGCGGGTAGCTGGACAGCTGGCCACACGTGCTGGAGGTGGTGCCACAAGCCAGGAGCACGAACACTCCTGGATCAGCGCTGTCTGTGGCGAAGCGCTGCAGCCACCAATTCTTCAGAGTCTGGGAGAGGAGAGGAGAGAAGGAGAGAGAAGGGGAGAGGAGGAGAGGAGGGGAGAGGAGAGGAGGAGAGAAGGAGAGAGAAGGGGAGAGGAGGAGAGAAGGGGAGAGGAGGAGAGAAGGGGAGGGGAGAGGAGAGGAGGGGAGGGGAGAGGAGAGGAGGAGAGGGGAGAGGAGAGGAGGAGAGAAGGAGAGAGAAGGGGAGAGGAGAGAGAAGGGGAGAGGAGGAGAGGAGAGGAGGAGAGGGGGGAGGAGAGGAGGGGAGAGGAGGGGAGAGGAGAGGGGAGAGGAGAGAGAAGGGGAGAGGAGAGGAGAGGAGGAGAGAAGAGGAGGGGAGAGGAGAAGAGGAGAAGAGAGGAGGAGAGGAGAGGAGAGAGGAGAGGAGAGAGGAGAGGAGAGGTTTGGTTTTTAAAATCCCTTTATTTCACTATTGCAGTGAAAACAGAAGCACTCTAAATCATCACTTAATAATCAGAAAATCAATAAAATAAAAACAAATAACCAAAAATAAAGCACCAAAGAACAAATAAACAATCAATTACAAAGATCAATATGTTCAGAAGTTCACCACCAGCTCTCCAGCAGAACCCACTGAGCATAAGTCCATCTGTCCCTGAAAGCCTGTAAATTGTCCACTGTCTGGTAGTAGGTGTGTTCCACCCTGAGTCGGGCTTTCAACAGTCCCTCCATAACTTTCACCGGATCCTCACTACTGGCACCTGAACCCGATTCTTCCGTGTCAATCAGATGGCCAACTTGGCAGAACCAGATAAAAAGTTCACCAGTGTGTGGACAACCTTCTGTTTTGAGCAGTATTTTGGACCGAAGATGAACAACATGAAAGAAAACACCTGTCCAAGACCCTGAAACCATCTTTTTAACCGTTCAAAGAGTGCTGAGAGCCGAGGACACTCACTCTCTTCATCCCATTGGTCAGACAGAGTACAGTTTCCTGCAACTGCTCTCAGGCGTTGTGGCAGGGCGGCACAGACCTCCTCCACTATTCTATTGGTCAACCTGACAGACGTGATGTTCGTGTTCTGCCTGAAGGTGACCATAGATGCTGCTGTTAATGACATCTTCACCAAATGTCCCAGTTTAGTGCAGCCGGCTTCTCTCAGACGCGTTCTCAGGCTGGCAGACTGCAGCGTTTTGGGTTCTAATGAAGCTGTTGAAGAACAAAGGTTCCTCCAGCAGCTACACGCCCGGAGTCTCATCAGCTTTACGTGAGATGTTAAAAATCTGCCACGCCTGCAGAACAGAGCCATAGAACGGCGTCAGCCTGGCCAAGTCCACTTCCTCAGGTTGTAGGAGAAAGAGCTGCTTATCATATCCCAACCGCCCAGCTCTCCTCAGCAGCAGTCGAGCCGTGTCCATCCAGCTGGGGCCACAGCCATACAGCAGCTTCTGTGCAGTCCGGAGTCTGAAAGAGGCGATCCTGGACTGGATATCGATGAGACCCTGCCCCCCCTCTGCCACAGGCAGATAGAGAGCTGCTGCACGAACCCAGTGTCGGCCGGACCAGAAGAAGTCCACGACAGACCTCTGTATCTCTGCTATGAGGCCTCCAGGTGGCGTCAGAGCGATGAGTCTGTGCCACAGAGTCGAGGCAACCAAGTTATTAGCGACCAGAACTCTTCCCCTATATGACAACTGGGGTAGTAACCATCTCCACCTAGAGAACCGAGCACACACCTTCTCCTTAACTCCCTCCCAGTTCTTTTTCTCAAAATCCTCAGAGCCCAAAAACACACCCAGCACCTTTAGACCTCCTTTTCCCCACTGAAGACCTCCAGGCAGATGAGGCACCGTGTGATGTCTCCACTGACCCACCAATAAGGCTTCAGATTTTTCCCAGTTCACCCGTGCAGATGAAGCCCTCTCATAAAGAGACAAAGTATCCTGCAGACATAGAACATCTCCCTGGGCCCCGATGAAGATGTTTACATCATCAGCATACGCAGACACAGCGAGGAGACTACAAAGACTGGAGGACCCAGGCAGTGACAGGCCACTGAGCCGACTTCTCAGCCTGCACAACAGAGGCTCAAAAGTGAGGCTGTATAGTTGCCCTGAGATAGGACAACCCTGCCTTATCCCTCGCCGTACAGGGATCGGTCGACTCAGGCCAGCTCCCATTTTTACCACACCTTCAGCCCCACTGTACAGCAAACCCACCCAAGCCAAGAACCCATCACCAAGCCCAAAAGCCCTGAGTGCAGAAAACAGATATGCGTGACCCACCCTGTCGAAGGCCTTCTCCTGGTCTAGTGAGACAATACCAACATCTACATCATGGAATTTACACACATCAAGCACATCACGGATGAGAAAGATATTGTCCATAACTGTTCTATCTGGGATACAGTACGTTTGGTCGCTATTTACAACCACTTCCAGGTAGTCTCTTAGTCTGTTGGATAAGGCTCTGGAAAGAACCTTATAGTCTGTACAAAGCAGGGCCACTGGTCTCCAGTTCTTAAGAAGGGCCAAGTCGCCCTTCTTGGGCAGCAGGGAGAGTACCGCCCGCTGGCATGAAACAGGAAGTGAACCTGTTTTAAAACATTCCATCAAAACAGAGTGTAAGTCAGAACCGATAATGTTCCAGAACTGCTTAAAGAAATCCGAGGAGAGGCCGTCGATTCCCGAAGTCTTTCCTGAAGCCATCTGGTTCACTGCAGCCGTCAGCTCCTCCAGCATCAGCTCTCCGTCCAGCGTAGCCCTCTCTGCTTGACTGAGCTGGGGAAGACCCTCCAGGAGCTCCTTACTGCTCTCTGTACAGGATTGCTCTTCCCCAAACAGAGCAGCGTAGAAGCCCATGGCATGGGTCCTCATCTCCCTCTGGTCAGTGGTTATCCTGCCTCCTGGGAGCTTCAGACAGGTCATCCGCTTCCTCTGCGCCACCGATCTCTCCAGGTTGAAGAAAAACGAACTTGGGGCATCCATATCCTTCAACTGGAGGAAACGGGACCTGACCACAGCTCCTTTCACTCTCTCTTGCAGGAAGGAGCTCAACTCCAACCTCCTCTCCTTTAGCAGTTGGCCCACACCGGGATCTGGGTCTCCCTGGAAGCCCTCCTCAATGATCTTTATGTTGGCTTCAAGGTCTTTGACAGCAGACTTGATTTTAGCCGTGGTGTTTGAGGTGTACTGCTGGCAGAACACACGGATCTGCGCTTTTCCGACCTCCCACCACTGTTTCAGAGAACTGAAACAAACTTTTTCAGTTTTCCACTGCTGCCAAAGAACCCCAAAGCTCTGACAAAAAGTGCTGTCCTGTAAAAGTTTATTATTAAAATGCCAGTAGGAGTTAACCCTTTCACCTGGTGAGGTTATCAAGCCTAAACTGACGAGGTGGTGATCGGTGAACCCAACTGGACTGATTGTGCTGTTCTTTAGTCTGGAACTGAGACTGCGAGAGATGTAAATTCTGTCCAGCCTGGCTGCACTTATCCTGTCGTTGCTGACTCTAACCCATGTGTACTGTCTGTTTTGTGGGTGTTTTACTCTCCATGTGTCCAACAGATCTAGGTGTGTAATGATGTTGTGGAGACTCTGAGCTGACTGTGGGTGTGGTTCCTCACTGTTCCGGTCTATGGTGAAGTCTAGAGTACAGTTAAAATCCCCTCCGATGATCAGTTGTTCCTGCTGGCTCTGCAGTTCGTTTTGCAGCGTAGTGAAGAAGCGTGCTCTTTCTTGCCCCTGATTCGGTGCATATATGTTCACGAAGCAGTAAAGCGAGCTCTCTATCTCTGCCCTCACCATCAGCAAACGACCCTTCACCACCTCAGTGACTGACAGGACGGTTGCATTAGCTGCTGTTCTAAACAGCATGGCTACCCCGGCACTAAGATTGGTGCCGTGGCTCAGGGTGCATGAGCCCTCCCACCATAAACCCCAGTCTACTTGATCTGATGGAATGGTGTGAGTTTCTTGCAAAAAGAGGATGTCCAACCTTTTTCGATTTACAACTTCCTGTATTAATGCTCTTTTATGCCTGTCCCGCCCACCATTGATGTTTAAAGACCCTAAATTGAAGCTCTGCATAGAAAGGTCAGAGGATGGAAGGAGGCAAGACAAGATAAGAAGTAAGCAGTGGAAAGTGGAAAACCCTGTGTGACACATGATCATGTTAAACTGTCTTAGTATTTTGAACCCTTTTACTTTTCCTTACTTTCCTCAAGGTTGTGATGTGTTTCTTTAGGCGGAGGCGCTTTTTTCCATCTAAAAGGTCCAAACCCACCTTTCTCTGCGCCACCCCAACAGATCGTATGAACTTCTCAATGTCGGGGAAATAATCACTCACTTTTGCAGATCTATTGTAAGTTACATCCAAAAACGAGTTTATTTCCTCTAGTGAATACAGGTCAGCGCCTTTAATGCACGTTTCAGAATTAGATGCAACATCTGATTCACTCTCATACTCCATGTCCTCTCCTTCACAAGACAGCTGGCTGTTGGACACAGACCCTACACTCTGTCCTTCATCTAAGGCTATGGTGAGATCTCCACCTGCTGAACCTGTAGCTGCCGCTTCACAAACTTCTACAGACTGTGGTGGTGCTTCGGTACCAGATGTAGTGAGGTTCTGCGCCACCACAGAAGCCTGCTGGTTGTAAGACTGGCCCTGATCCTCCTTATCGACATTATTGTTATCAGCAAAAAGCGCCGCCGACCGCACCAGCGGCAGCCGCAGCCACACCACCGGGACCCGCAGCCACACCACCGGGACCCGCCGCAGCCGGAGCAGCCGCTGCCGGAGCTGCCGTGGCGGCCGGAGCTGCACCAGCGGGAGCCGCCGCGGCCGGCTCCGCCTCCGCGCATCTCTGCTGCTTATGCGGATGTCCTACATCTCCACACTCAAAGTATTTGATCTGTCCCGAGCTAGCGTACACCATGTATGAACCCTCCCTGTGTTTAACCCTGAAGGACACCTCCAGTGTTTGTGTAGGTGACTCCAGGAACATGAAGACCTGCCGCCTAAGAGACAGCACGTGCTTCAGTTTGGGATCCTTACACCCCAAACTGACTGTTTTAAATCCGCTGGCAAACTTTCCAAACCTGCGCAGCTCATTTTCTAACAGCTCGTTCGGTATAAACGGCGGAACACCGGACACGGTGATCCGCGTAGAGGGCACTGAGAGTGGAGAGACCTGCACCAAGCTGTCCCTGATAAACACGCCGCTCTCTATCAGGTTGTGGACATAAACCTCGCTCATCACGAACACAACCACAGCTTTATTCATCCGAGATGCAAAGAAAAATTTGTCATGTCCCACCTGTTCTCCGACAGCCAGCAGCACCTCCTCTACTGACACGCTGCTATCCGGCGGAACTACCCGGACTCCCTGCCGGATTGACGGGCGTGGCGTCTCGGAGGACGCCATCCTCCCGAACAACGCCAAACACCACTAATCACATGTTCTACCGATAAATACACTGCTTAGTATCTTACCTGATCATGTGCAGAGACAGAAGAGCAGAGGAACAAATCCCAAAGCAGTGACAATACAATCAAACCTCCACGCCACTCTCACGTCCACCACTCACACTCACACGCAACCGGAAACAGAAGAGAGGAGAGGAGGTGTCAGACTGAGCAAAAAACAAAACAATAAACAAGAAGTTATCCCCTTGACAACAACAACAGACCTCATAGACAGCCAGGTCGATGCCAGCGTAGGGGATGATGCCCAGCATGTTGGGGACATAGCCCTTGTAGAAAGCAGCCACTCCCTCCTTGTGAAACATATGTTTGGCACAATGCAAGATGCCCGAGTACTGGCCCGTCTTCCTCAGGGCCATCCGTGTCTTCAACACCTGCGAGGACAGACAGTGATGTCAGGCCTCCTGACGGATGAGACAAAGCACCACTTTGTTGTCCAACAGTTGTAGAACATCGTTCATACTTGAACAAACAGACTAATATATATATATGCCGTGCATTATCTTTCATATTAAAATACGTTGTGTGTTATGAACCTCATTTACATAAATTACTTGCTCACACTTTGTGCATAACTGGAGGTCTGTGAGTCTGCGTGTGAAGATCTGATTTCCTCCAGATAGGAGGTCACAGTACAGCTTCACATGATGAGTTCAAGGCTTAAAATGGGCAGTCAGTCACAAGACAAAAAGAATCCACTCGGATATTTCTGCACACAAACATGATGAGTCACGAGTTGCTCCATAACATTTACAGAATGAGTGCAGTCCTTTTCCTTAAAGTGAGGTCTTGCTTAAAATATGTTTTATTCTGTCTGTGTTCATCGTCTCTGACCTCCATAGGGTAGATGCTGCTCTGAGCGGTTAGTCCAGCCAGAGAGCCTGCCACCAGTCTCTCTGCGATGCCCAACGTCTCCTGGTTACTTCCAATTAATCGTTTTATCTGACAGACAGGACATTTCTTGTTATGCAACCACACAAAATGTGAGAGAGATAAACGGCGTGATGGAGTCAGAGCGGTTCATACCTGTTCATAGGCCATGAACTTAATAGCAGACTCAGGGGCAATTTTGATGACATTGATGCCGTTGCCTCGCCACAGTGACCTCACACCGCCCTCTCGGATCATCTGGACAAAGCCTCCAGTGATATGCATGCTGTTGCTCTTGGAGGCGTGAACCTGGAGAGGGAGGAAGGGAGGGAGGGAGGGGTCAGGACAAACAGTCAGCATGTCTTCAAACTGATCACTACTTCACTTCCCTTTGTTCAGTTTGCCTAGAATCAACAAGTCCTTCTCCGAGAGGACTTGTTCAGCTGTGTGTTGTGCTTTACCTGCATGAGGACTTTGAGCCTGTCCAGTGGTGCAGTGCAGGTTCGAGACACTGCACCAGCTCCTCCTCCTGCCACTAGGTGTCGCCACCACATTCCTGTTTTCTTCTCTTCTGCCGTGAACTCATCAGGCACCAACAAACTCTCCCCAACGTCAAAGATCTGAGGAGGAAGCCTTAAAGTTAGCGGGCACATCCCAAGTCTCTTATTTGTCTCGCTTGAAACGGAAGTTGTTCTGCGCCACCATTTAGAATATGCATCTCAACATCACATCAACATTTCATACCAGAGGGGAGATAGATCACAGATTCAACTTTTTACATCTATGTAGCCATGAGGCTGATCATTCCTGATTGTTGAGTAAATGGTGAATGGACTGTACTTGTATTTCTCTTTTCTAGTCTTCCGACCACTCAAAGCTCTTTAACACTACATGTCATCATTCACCCATTCACACCCATTCATACACGGATGACAGGAGCTACCATGCAAGGTGTCACCTGCTCATCAGGACTATCTAACATACATACACTGATGGGAGCAATTTGGGGTTAAGAGTCTTGCCCAAGGACACATCAACATGGACTAGGGGAGCCAGGGATCAAACCGCCGATCCTCTGATTGAAGGACGACTCGCTCTACCGCTGAGCCACAGTCACCAAGTCAGGTTTGATGAGGAATTTCATTTCAATTTCCCCCAAAACATTGAGCCTAATAAATTAGTTCCAGTGTTCGAGAGAAACCATAATCATATTCTGGGTTATATGTTATTTAATGACGTCACAATCCGAATTTAAAAAAATACAAATACAAAAAATATTTAATAGATAAGACAAACGCATTCCACCTGTAGAGACTGGTCCTGCGCTTTTAAGGACACAGATCACAGTATAAATACTCAAAGCAGGTTGTTAAAGAGAGAAAACACCTCTACTCTGACAGTGATGATAACTGTGTTTATTAGTATCAGTACTAGGGGTGTAACGGTACACGTATTCGTATTGAACCGTTCGGTACGGGGCTCACGGTTCGGTACGCATTACGAACCGAACAATACGTTTGAATAATATTAAATTGCTTTTGAAAAATAAAATATAGCTGAAATTGGTGGAGCCCCTGCGCTCAAACATGGCAACCTACCCGACGTAACGTGCTTCCCTGATTCGCCACGCTCCTATCACGTGACCGTTCCCGGATGTTCACAAACAACAACAGTCTTGATTACCGATTGACTACCAGGTTAATTCAACATGAACAACTGATTACAGGCGTTGTTGACCGTGTTGTCTTTACTAGCAGCTTTTGTTCAGTTAAAGTCTGCATTTCTGTGGAGGAAGCAGCTGCTATTGGAGCGATTAGTGAGCGACGTGACCAGCGGCGTGACCAGCCCTACGGAGCGGACGTCTGAAGCCACGGTTAGCAGTAAATGCTCTCCAGTAGGACAGATAGCTAAGCCTTCAGCAGACAACAACGAGGAAACGAGTGAGAGACTTGTGTTGACCAGATTTATGGACCATAATCTAGTAAACCTTTGTGTGTAAGTGTTGATTTTAATGTAAATATGAGGTGAGAGATATCGAGCAAGACCCCCAGCGCTGTAACGAAGTCTGAAAAATAAAACTTCTAAAACTTTCCACGAAATGTATCTGTTTGAGTTCATAGAGGAAGATTTTAGAGAAGATCTTAAGTATCAAACACGACCTTTCATTATTAAAGACTACTTTATTACTCTGTCGTATTATTTTAAACTAAGCAACCCATCTACTTCCTGTTTACACCGGCACCATCACGCCCAGTGTATGTGAAGAGTCATGTAATATTCGTTACAAACTCTCCTCGCAGCGTTTCGGTATCTGTTCCGTCTTGATTCAAACAGGCTAAAGGTATATCCCTACTCTGGTGATAAACCAGGCTGTACCAACATGCTTAATGCTATTGAGCCCCGTGACACTACTCCTTCACCAGCCCATTTCTCCAGACCATAATTCCTGCTTTGTAAAAGAAAACAAAAGCCCAAACAGAGAATCAAATCAGACACGCCCCCTTGAGAGTCTCACCAGAGGATTTGGCATTTCTGCTTTTTTGCTGGATTGAAAACGTACCGAACTGTGGCACCACTGTATCGTATTGAACCGAACCGAGAATTTTGTAAACCGTTACACCCCTAATCAGTACAGATGTGATCAGCTGATCCGGCGTCATCAGAAACAGACCTCTCTTCACGTGACGCTACAGAGGAAAGGACGTCTCATTTAATAATAATAATAATAATAATACATCAATTTTCTATAGCGCTTTTGAAAATACACAAAGATGCTTTACAAGGCAGAGACAAACAGAACAAACAACAAAAAAAAAAAAATGAATAACTGGAGAAGCTGTGCGGAATGGGTCATGTAGTGGAGGGTAGGGTGCAGGGGTTAGCAGGTGAAAGCGAGTTTGAAGAGGTGGCTTTTGAGGGCTTGTTTGAATGATGATGGGGAGGGAGCCTCACGGATGTGGATGGGGAGGGTGTTCCAGAGGGGTGGTGCAGCAGCTGAGAAGACCCCGTCACCCCAGGTCTGGCGCTTGGTCCTGATGGTCTTCAGAGTGTTTGCACCGGCGGACCTGAGGCAACGGGTTGGGGCGTGGAGGGGGAGGAGGTCTGGATGGTAGGGAGGGGCCAGGTTGTTTAGGGCTTTGTAGGTGGTGAGTAGTATTTTGAAGTCTATTCTGTATTTGACCGGGAGCCAGTGGAGGTTGTGAAGGACCGGGGTGATGTGTTCATAGCGGCGGGTGGAAGTGAGCAATCGAGCGGCAGAGTTCTGAACATATTGGAGTATATTGAGGATTTTGTTGGGAGAACCATAGAGGATGCTGTTGCAGTAGTCATGTCTGGAGGTTATAAGGGCATGGATGATCATTTCGGTGGTGGCAGAGGACAGGGAGGGTCTGAGGCGTGCAATGTTCCTGAGGTGAAAGAAGGCAGTTTTGGTGATGTGGTTGGCGTGGGGTAGGAAAGAGAGGGTGGGGTCGAGGATGATACCGAGGTTGCAGACCTGGGTGGAGGGGGTGACAATGGAGCCATCAATGTTTAGGGAGAAGGGCTGGGCTGAATGGGTGAGGGAGTTAGGGCCGATGATGAGTATTTCAGATTTGTTTGCAGTTGAGTTTGAGAAAGTTCTGTTGCATCCATGATTTTATATCAGTGAGACAGGTGGTGAGAGTGGAGTGGGTGACGGAGGTGATGGTCTTGGTGGAGAAGTAGAGTTGGGTGTCGTCAGCGTAGCAGTGGAAGTTGAGACCATGACGACGGATGATTTGTCCAAGGGGAAGGATGTAAATGATGAAGAGGAGGGGACCAAGCACGGAACCTTGGGGGACACCGTGGGTGACTGGGGGGGTGGAGGATTGTCATTTCTCCTAAAACATATTTCCCAGTGTCCTCTCTCCTCGCATGGTTGCCTTGCGTCTCTCCATGCATCGCTGGTGGGAGGGACTAAGACGCAAGTGAAGGAAACGTGGATGTAATTAAGGACTTGGGATGAGCCCAGTGTCAGAGGATACCATATCAGGGTGCCAGAGGTTTGGTGTGACACAGGGAGCTGCTGCATGAATATGTGTCTTTACTGGAGTGGCATGGGGTCTACTTCTTCTCCCACTGGGCTTATTCAATTATGCAGTATTATTAATACAAGTAATATGTAAGTAATTTAATTACTTACACATGCACTACTTATATGGCTTTCTCTGAATGCTCATATGCCTTTACAATAAGAAAAGGTGACAGTGTAAATGATTTGTATCCCACTACACATACAAAAAGGAATAAGATTCTTTTAGGTCATAACATATCTTTCATGTTCTCGTTAATACTTGATACCAAATTATTTATTTTTACAACCATTTTTTCTTGTTATGACAGACACTTTATCCTGTTACTGTACACCACCAAAGCTTCTCTTTACTACACAAAGCAGAGTGGGGCTTTCTGGCACCACTTGACCCACTTCACGGGTCAGTACAGGTCAATCCTACAGCAACACTTAGTGGTCTGACAGTAAAGTCCTTCTAGATACCACCACTGGGTTTCAGCTTGTGTCCTTCAACACGGTCGTTGCGACACAAACCCAACAAAACTCGTTATAAATACTTTCCTCGTTTCAACACCATAAGTTGTATATTGTTATAATAAGAAACCGTATGGAGTGAAACTGAACACAGTATCACAGGACCTCCTATTCAGAGCGTGCTCATGTTGTGGGTGGAGGAAGACCTTGGGGTTGGATAGAAGTCCTTAAAGCTGAAAACAATATGACCCAACATACATTCTAACTAATGCAACTAGCATCTATAAGTGCCTATTAATGTTTCTTTGATGTTCTTATCATTTAAAACGTAACCGTCTGCAACATTTGACCTTCCTTGCCTTCTTCTTACGCATTGCCCAAACACATCTGTTCCATTAGGAGCGATGAGCTTTGGATTCTGCTCTTAATGTTCATTAGCCTCTCTGTGAGACGGAGAGGAAGAGAGTGGAGCCTACCGTGGAGTGTTTCCAGTAGAGGATGATCTCAGGAATGTTGCCTGCTGGATGCAGGAGGTGGTAATCCCGCCACTCATTCCAGTTAATCGTCATTGTCCCATTCTTATCCATACTGGGAATGTAAAGTAAAACAGTGGATACCGGCCGTTACAAATGTGACAGTTTTAGAGCGTAAATGAACAAGCGTACACCGTTACTTCTCAACAATGGTAACACTTAAACAAAGAAATGCTATGATAACATGGTGAATATGATATTTGTTGCATTTTTCATCTGAAATCACTGAATAAAACAGCACCTGGTAACTGAACTAGACAGACTGTCGTGGGGATCAGTGCAGCACTGGCTGAGCAAGCAGACTATAGAAGCTACTACTTACTACAAGATAGGGGCCCAGATATGACCCCTCCTTATTCTGAGAGCAGCCAGAGAGAAGAAGACAGAGACAGACAGACGGACAGACAGGAGGTTAGAGGAGACAGGGATCACACTGAGCCACAACAATGAGCTGCTGATACATAGATCAACTGGACAGACATTTACCTTGTTACTACAGTTCTCGTAACAAAGCACACTGTAAGAAAAGTTATTCAACAGGAAATATTCTGTATTTTCCCCCATTTTCCCATAAAAGGTAATGTCTTTAGATTTACAAATATTTGCCGTAGTTTAAGTTTGCCAATAAAATTACAGGTAATTAACTGTAACATAAGAGTACGTTAACATTATGTTTGTAATGGCCATTTAATTTATTTGTATAGATTGTACATCTATAATATAATATTTACAATTTTTTGTTGTTCATGACAAAGAAATGCTTAAAATTCACTAGTTTGTCAAAGTGTTTTTTGTCATTAAGCATGTTGATTAAAAGTTATTTTGTTTATTTGTACAGGCACAAAAATTATTTACTTAGCAAATTACTGAAGAAAGACAAAAAGTATTATATGACAGAAAGCACTATATTGTTTTACAGTTTTTCTTCTATAAAGTAGCATGAGATTATGCTAGCGCTAGCAGGCCTGCTACAGTAACAAACATGCGGCTTCAACTAGAGTGTTTTGTTACGGCTCTTTCATATAAAATAATAAATATAATGTATAGACTTTCCCGCTGCTTCATGACACACAAACACAAGCACAGGAAACAATGGGGATGCATACAGAACGCCAGAGTTGCTTGTTTTGACTGAAGGTCTGTCAAAAGACAGAAGTCAGAATAGCTGCAGGTGATTGGTGTTGAATGGAGCGCAGGCACACAGGCACTGCGTGTTGTTTGAGGCCCTGGGCACAGCCCGCTTTATTTTAGAAGAACTGTCAAGTCAATATGTTGTTTTTAGTGCTGGGCAAGTTAATGTGTTATTGCATTAATTAATTAACGCCGACAATTATTTTATCACGTGTTAACGCAGTTTTTTTATTATTATTAATAAGCGGACATTTTTAACACAAGAACCGGGTAGCGAGCGGTGAACAACGGTGAACCCCCCCGGGGTGACGCCTGATCCGGAACCCCTCCTACACTCAGTCACCGTTGGTCCCCTCCTGTCTCACAAACACATATTAAATATATATTAATATAAATATTAAAACACATATTGTCGTGTTTTTAAATGAACATATAAGCACGTGAGAACAAACTGCTCTTAACTGCAACTCTGTATTAGCATAACTTCCTCATGTAGGTTACTGCCACAGTACAGACTACAGGTTCCATGCTTCACCTACATTCCCCTGGGTCCTGAGTCCCTCCATGTACAGCTTCTTATCACCCTCTATGTACCAACGTACATTTATAACAAATACCACACATATTATGGTAATCAGCATTGCATATGTGTCTGACCAACTTTTTTTTTGAGTTTTTAAAGTGTTTTGTTTGTAATATGTATAATAAGCATCATTTAGTTATCACTACTGAGAATTTATCAAACATAAAGTAGATAGGTTTGCAGTTTTCAAGGAGTATATTTAAATTGCATCCTGATTTTAGAAAGTACGGTGTTTTATTAATTTAATATAAAGTGACTTACAGTTTGTATTAAACCTCAGCACAGTATCATTACTTTTTACTATTGAGCTAAAAGAAGAGGGCTCACTTCTTTGAAGCTGTGGAAGTTTGTAGAAGTGAATTCTGATTTATACTTATTCAGTTTGTGTTAAAATTGATATTATTGAGGGAAAAAGGAGAACATCAATGTAACAGGTGACTCCAAACACACACACACACACACACACACACACACACACACACACACACACACACACACACACACACACACACACACACACACACACACACACACACACACACACACACACACACACCTCTTGAGGATCTTCTCTGCCTGCTCCTCAGAGATGTTCACTCCCAGGTCACGCAGAGACTGCATGATTTCTTGCGAGTCGATCCGGCCTACACCACAGAAATGAATTCAATTTGTATTAATTAAAGATGAACACAGATTTTACACTTAGAAGTCAGTCTACTAGTCACAGTGAGCAGTACTCTGCCCCATCAAAACAGTTGTACTGTATAGTGCCTGAGCCAGAGAAGTTTTGTGAAGTCTAAGAATATGACGCTAATCATGTCATCAGGGTTATCTCACCTCGAGCCTGTTTAGAGATCAAAGGCGCAAGAACCGAGCTTGGAATCAAAATGTTGATGCGATCCGTCGGCTCATATCTAACAGTGCTAACAGTGCTAACAGTGCTAACTACAGCCAAAGTGCAGCCAGAGCTACAGTAAGAGTGTTGACCTGGGCGCTGTGCTTCTGTGACGACTCTGTCTGTCGGGACGGCGTTATCAGCTGTAGAGCTTTGTTTATACTCGAGCGTGGCACCGTAGCGTTTGAGCCTCCACAGACGGAGCGCGAGGTCAGAGCACAGAAAAAGGCGTTAATCTGTTAACGGTAGATTTTGATGAGCTCTCAAAATTAGAAGTACTCCTAGGAGAAGCAGATAAGGCAGAGCTTGCTGCCTGATATGTATCAACATGCCACAACTTGACACGCACCTGTTTGGCAGTGACAGAGAGAGGGCATCTTCTAGTTAATGATTGAGTTAATGGTGCCCGCTGTATTTCATGTGCTCTGTGGAAGAATAAATGGCCAAACGCATCTTGGAGTGGAACTGGATCATCTTTGTGCGTCACCGTGTTTCCTCCTGTGTTCAGTCCCTGGCAGCTTTTTTGGACCGCCTTAAGCCGCTAAAGCGCTAGCATCTTCAGCACAGTCTCACTAAAGAATACGTAGTATATTTCAAAGCTAAATGCAATGATCTGGTGCACGTTGAGAGCAAAACTGAAGAGGCTATATGTAAGAACACCTTTGTGCTCTTGTTATAACAGTGGTGGAATAGAAGCAAGTACACTTAGACTATTCAAGTACAGTTTTGAAGTACTTGTAGTTTACTTGAGTATTTCCATTTTATATAACGTAATACTCCGAGTGCACTACATCTCAGAGGGAAATGTACTTTTATTTGACAATATTAGGTACTACTTTCCTTAATACAAATTTAGAAATCAACTCGGGCTGGACCTGATTACTGGACTTTTGGTTTGTTGCGTAGGTATTCGGTGTTCAATTTTAGCATTCGGATATTCGGTTTTGTTTCTTTTCTTTTTTTTAACCCCTCTGGATTACAAATACACCAAACCTTTTTGGAAAATGCAATCATACATACTCTAGAATGACAATCCTTAAATGAATTAAATAATAATAAATAATTAAACCAAAAGGCCAAATTGCTTGCTGTGCCGTCCATCTGAACATCATGGGTCACGTCATGGAGTCGAGCCAGAGTCCTCGCAGCGGTTGCTTTTGTTGGAGCATAACTCATGTCGAGCTTAAGCCAAAGGCGCTGAGCAGAAGAGAACGTATTGCTTCCGTCTGTTCTCACCACATGGCAGACTCAAAGTTATCAAACCTAACAGGATTCCTTACCATCGTTCTTCTTGTCCAGGCTCTTGAAGACCAGCCGCAGTTTCTTCTCGTGGTCTCTGAGATAATGAACAAACTCCTCAAAGTCTAACTGTCCATCCAGGTCTTTGTCTCCTGCTTTCACTATTTTCTGGAAGGAGAGAAGAGAAACCTTTGAGCCACTTAATTCTCAGTTCATTTTTGTATTTACGTGATGTCAAGACATTTCAGTAAGCATGATGCATTTACCGTAACATTATATGTGAAGGATATTGAATTGAACTAATTTAAAAACAGCCCTATAGCTCTGTGGACAGAGTGATGTGACAGACAGTGGGTGCTGTTGGAGTCTGACTCTGGTCTCATGGCTGACCCAAGACCCTCACATGTGTTTTTCAAACAAAGGAGCATCCATCTTTCTTCCTTTCAACAAAGACCTGATCTGGGGTCTGATAAGGCCAGGCTCCAAGAGAGATGACCACACCTCCCAGCTCCAGCCAGAACTTAA